CCGGATAGAGGGGAATTATATATTATCAACATTCTTGGAATGAAATTAATGTTTGGGTCTCGCACTGTTTATTTTTTTCATAAACTCATTTTAAATGTGTATAATTTCAATGAATTTTTTTCAATAAGTTACAAATAACAAATAGTTTCAATATTGCTTATAATTTACATCAAATTAGATTTATAGTAATTAATGTGCAACAAACAAAATTCCTAGTGATATTTTTTGTTCGTTTTAGTGTAATGCTACACAATAACCTATCTGCTTTATATTCACAACGGATTTTAGCGTTTTAAATCCGTAAACTTACCGCTAATTCATTAAGGTACTAGTAATAAACATGATTTTAGATGGATAGTGACTAATGCATTAGGATATAACTGAAATTTTGTTGTTTTTTTTTCTAAAATGCTGAAAACTAACTTATCATCAAAACACAGCTAGCAGCGAGAGTACCCACCTAATCACGTAAGGCAGATTGGTCATAGAAGTTTTGTAGTTTGCTTGTTTCTCATAATTAAAACTATTTATTATCAGTTATAGTTATCATTGTAATATTGTAGCAGATCTTTATGTAAAAGCTATTACACAATTAATTGACTAATCAGTACGAAATCACTTGTTTCAAAAGCCTCTGGTGGCTAAGTGGCAAGTCTGATGGCTTATAACGCTAAAAACCTGATTTATATTATCATGGTGGGAAGAGTGCAAGTAAACCATTGTGTTGCTTTGCGCTTAACGACAAACAACTAAACAATTGTTCGAATAATAATAATTATCACCAAGCATTACGACGATGGCTTGTAATAAAACCGAATTTTGGGTCATTTCATAAAACACTGAATTTGCGAAAAACATATCTTTAAATAAATGATAGTTAAAATAAATGAAAATACCAAAAAAAATTAACTTCTGATCTCTAATTAGAATCACAATTATCAATATTTTTGTATTTTTGGTTATTGTAAACCATTAAATGTATATCATTTAATACGTTGTAAATATTGTCATAATGAGTTTGTTTTATGATTATAGTTTTTAATATTCTCTTTATGACATGTGTCGAACTATATATTTGTCTTGTTTCTTATTTCTTTTAAATATTTATATCTTAGCCCTCACTTTTCTGCATGCTTTTTGTACTTTGTATTTTGATAAAATTTCGATTAATCTTAATTATAAATTAATTCGAATACAAATGTTGTCTTACCATGAACCAAAGTGTTTGACGATCTCGAGAAGAACAATTTGGTAAACGTTTCGGCTAAGCGATTTCTTTTACGGGACCTGGTGGTGTTCATTTGGCCGAAACGTTAGTTTTTCACCTTGCAGCGATTTTTCTTCTTTTTATTATTCCCTATCGCTGCATTTCTATTCACTTTTGTTTTCGTTTTTCAGTAGAGTATATTGTAAAGTGCTAATTGCAAGTGAGGCTCTTAGCACGTCGACAGTGCAGCTTTTCAGCAGACAAGAAATAACTGATATCAACTTCCTCACTAGAAACTTTTATTTCGAGTATTAAGAACCGCATTCCCTCGTTAAATGTTCTATTACGTTATCTATCGATACTTAATATACATATTTATTCTTTGGAGTCTTTAAGATTTCAAATCAATACAAATTTTTGGATTGAATATATTGAGAGCCTTATTTTCTGCTAAGTTCTAATCTTGGAACACCTCTGTCTAGTGTAGCACAAATCACATTCTAAATATATTGCAATCATGTAAGTGTATTTGTGTGTATTTGTAGTTTGTTTTGGAGTAAAGCTACTGAACAAGGTATATCTCAAACTTATCGGTGGATCGTATCAGAAAGACATTATACACAAACGAGAGACAGTCCGTGCTATAAAGGTGTGAAAGTCAAAACTGAAGAAGATTGTAAAATGATCACCGACAGCATTGTGATGTTATATTTGTGTTAAGAAGAAGAAAAAAATCATGAACGGTTCCCTTCTTAGTCATATCATTATGTTCTCTTCTTTGGATAACTTCATCTTAGTATTTATTCTTCTCCCCCCGCCCCTTTATCACTATTCTAATTCTTTTGCTAATTTCGACTCATATTCTTTTATACCGTTATGCTCCAAATGTTAGTTTTAACTTGTTGGTTAATTTCAGCTTTTATGGAACTTTACAAGATTTTTTTGCTGGCATGAATTTAGGCAATGTTAACTTTTTACACAGCTAAGTGGTCTTCTATTATATACTTAGAAATAAGAGAAGTTTAATAAGCAAACCATGATTAATCTGAATAAATATTCTAAATAAAAGTTAAAAATAACCTAACCTAAACCTCAAGTCTTTCATAAAATATCAAACTCTAGTCTCGGTTGTTTATTCGATTACTTAACTGAGTATCCATGTGAAATATAGGGTTGATCAAACACGAGATGTTTAACAAAGTATTAAATGTACATTTACACTACACGAATGTTGAGGATAATATATATATGCCTATCAAATACTAAATATCTAAGTTGAATACTGAAATAAATGATAAATATTGAACACTAACACATTCTACATTAGCAAGAAAAGTGTCAGATTACTTACAGGAAACATAAAACTTTCTTAACTAAAAATATTACATACATCGTTATTAAGTATATCCTCGATAAATCTGCTATATATAAGTATTGGGGAGCGTTATTCAATTCCGTAAGCGTACTAGCTTGATATCCTAAAAACTGAAACGTTTTATCATATCTTTTCTGAGGTTCCTTGAAGTAATTACATTTAGGACATTTTTATGATATATGTATTTACATATTACTTAATAAGATATATTCTAACACATTTCGTACCGGAGGTCAATTTATTGTTTCCACTTTTATAAACCGTTGTAGTAAACGTTAAAGAAGAGTTTGAGGAAACAGCTATATAATATTTACTTTAAAACTCTAAATATTTTCTGATACAATGTACACCTTTACAAACTACAGAAACTTCTAGAGATATAATTTATCAAAGCAATAGGATTGATTTCTTAAACATGGAATTATTCTTACAATTTTCATTCACACTTTATCTGCGCGGCTGTGTGGAAGAAATATCTAGGTTTATCATAAATTATAAATAGTTTATTAACTAATATGCTTTGTAATTCTTTAACCGTATGATAAAGAGTTTATATTAGTAATAATTATATAGATAGGATATACTATTCTTACTATGCCAATCTTATTATGCTAAAATGTAGGCCAAAAATCCTGCCAAAGATTACAGTTCATTTATAAATAACACTACATTAAACAAAAACGAATTCTGAATTGTTTCTCCCAGTAATTGTATATTTACGATCTTATATGCAAAGATGGAAATCTGATTAATGAAATATAGAAAAAAAAAGTCCACTGAGACCCGGATGTACTACTTCATGACTGATAAGAGTTAAAGTAGCTGAGAAACTGCGTTTTTCAGATGCTAAGTTGAACTAGATGTCAGAGGATTGATTTCAAAACAGCATTTTAAGTATTATTCGTAAATTTCGTGTTGATTCCAAAGCTATTTTTAAAACAAAAACTATCATTGTTAGGCCCAAAGATGCACAATGTACTCCGAGCCCATCTCAGAAATCGAAGCTAGAACCTTAGCATTATAAGCCCGTTGCTGTTAAACAGCAGGAGAGGTGGCGGAATGTCAAAAATTTATGCAGTTTAGAAATAATTTGTTCTCTCTTTTTCTTTTACATTCATGTCATTTCAGATGTGAAGAGAAAACTATGCTGATAAAAGGAAACATTACGTGAAAATT